TTTATTAGAAACATCTAGATTACAGGTCATATGGATCATTCAGCTGGTTTAAAGTCAGAGTTGAAAACACATTTTGGACTTTAGACTAAAATTATTTTGCTTTGAGTGACCCTGTACTCTAAATGTGGTTATTTTATCACAACAATTAATTGAATATTTCATTTTGTCACTACCGAAAAAATCACAACTCTACTAAAACCAAATGTTTCAGTAGGGACTGTTTCGGTAGTGACAGTTTTAGCTCATTTTGAGCAGATCTCAAAAACACAGCTAGAAAACACAGCTTTGAACAACTTACACACATGAAATCATCATATTTTTCATAGAAACATAAAAAAGTACGTAAATGCAGAAAATATGACAATTAATGTTCTTAATGTTCCACAATGATTTTTAGACTTTGGGACACATTTATTTCAAAACAACAGGATCTAACTGTTCACCATGTGGCCATGAGGGACAGGGATGCAGCCTCACTTCCACCTCTAAAATGCAGGGGCGTGGCTAAATAAGGCTCCATACACACTAAAACTCTGTGTTTCAGTAGTGACATGAAAACGTGACACAGCAGGTTTTGAATAAATTCTTGTTAAAAGGTCTTTTAAAAAAGTAAAAGTGTAAATTTAGGGGTTAGGGTCTGGTACAGACACCTCCCAATAAAAAGTAAAAGATGATTTTGTTTATATTTATTTTATTACTATCTCTATTAATGCCTCGCATTTAAACAGATCAGAACATGATGTTTGTAAATATCTAAGGTCTGAATACTTCAGTGTTTTTTAAATAGTTTTTGAATAATACAGTTACAAGTACAATTACAGACAGTAGTCCAACTGTCATTGCAGTTTATCAGCTGCCCTTTACCTCAATCATCAGTGGTCAGTTTCTGACCACAGGAGCACTGCTGACTAGATGTTATTTGGGTGACGTGGTAGTAAGGACTCGAGGATGTGCATCAACAGATAAGCTACAGCCTCCAACTGTACACACTTAAAAAGATGGTTCTTGAAGGGTTCTTTAGTAAAAGGAATGGTTTAGAACCATGAGTTCTGTATGGAACCACTGGCATGCTTAAAAGGTTCTTCACATGGTTAAATGGTTCCTGGAGAATGTGTGGCATATGGTCCTGCATAGCACCAAAAAGCGTTCTGCTATTGCAACTATGTCAAGCTTGTATTTAATAGAAGAACCATTTTTGGTGCTATATAGAAGCTACTTTGAAAAGGGTTCTATATAAAACCATATACAACACATATCAATCTGAAGAACAATTTCACCATGCAAACAACCATTTAAGCATGCAAATGGTTCTATATAGACCTCATGGCTCTAAACAGAACCATTCCCTCTACTAAAAAAAGTGTGTACACCAGCAAGGTGTAGCATCGAGAGAGGGGTTTCCGATAAAGTGGCCAGTGATTGTAAGGGCTGCAGATGTGTTCCAGATGAGGGATGATATTGGTATTGTGCCATGTACTTAACTGCTGGACTAATTGGCCTCCCTTAATGATTTTAGCTGCAGCCGACGTGCTCTCACACTTCACAGAGAGATGCCAAATAGCTTGTGAAAATCGGCAGGTCTATTAAAACTGCAGCCAATTGTGGACAGATGCGACCGGGCTGGAAAATTGGGTTTCAAATGTCACTCGTTTATGCCAATATATTATAGAAGAATGTGTTTTCCCAAACAGAGAATAAATGAAAATGATAGGAGCTGTTTTTACGGTGCCGACACTGATGGCCGTATTGATGTTGGTGGTTTTTGTGACGTTTCCTGATGATGGTAATTAAACAGCAGAACCCTTTATTGTTAAATCAGATTTTAAAGCATTTAGAGTCTGGCTGGTTCTTACAGCACCCAAATCAGGGAAAACCAAATTTCCCTCACTTTTCTGAAGCAAAGAAGTTTAGGTAAATATTGCTAAAGTTTAAAAACATGCCGTTCACTCTCAAGCCCACATGGCCCATATATTGAAACTAACAGAACAGCCTGTTTTAAATTTGTGTCTTTGATGTCACTAGCCAACTGATTTACATATATTCACGTATAGAAGCTTAGCCACGCCCATTCATGCTAAAGTTCTAAGGAGTTCTATGATCTGAATGTCTTTTTTGAACGAGGGCAGCCAATCAGAATACAGCTCAAAACAAAATCTGTTTACTTCGGAGAGATAAAGGAAAGAAAGTACGAAAACAGTCATGTAAAATATATTATGACCATTTTTGGCACATAAAATCCTCACATATATCATAAGTGGACCTTAAAGGAGAAAATAACATTAAAAATGAGAGATATGAGTGCTTTTAAAGTGAAAAAATAATTAAAAACAGCAAGTTTTACTTAAACACTGAAGGTGTTAATCCAACAATGCAGGTTCAACAATGCCAACACTGCAAGTGTTCACTCGGTAGATGTTAGTGTTAAGGTATTAATTTAACAGGTGTTTATTCAACACTGTAGGTGTTCATGTGACATTCAACATCAAATGTTTGGTAAAGAGTGTATATTAGTGTAGGTATTAATTCAACATTGTATGTATTAATATAGGGAAGTGTTAGTTGAAGACGTGTATATTAGTGTAGGTATTAATTCAACATTGTATGTATTAATACAGGGATTCATTCAACACTAAATGTTAGTTAAACACTGTGTATATTAGTGTATTTATTAATTCAACATTGTATTTATTAATACAGGGATTCATTCAACACTAAGTGTTCATTCAAAACTGCATCCATTCAGTCAACACTGTAGGTGTTTATTCAACATTACATATGTTACATCAACATTGTAATGATTATTGTAGGTGCTCATGTAGATGTTTGTACATGTATTCATTTAAAAGTGTGTTAATTCAGCACTTTAGGTATTTGTTCTACACTAGGTGTTTATGTCACGCTGCAGATGTTAATTCAACAAGTGTTAATTCCAGACTATATTAATGTACTTGTTCATTCAACATTAGGTAGTAACTCTACATTGTAGGTGTTCATTCAGGCTTGTGTTCTCACATGTATTTATGTTTACACTAGATGTTCATATTACACTGTCAGTATTTATTCAACAATGTTGGTGTTCGAACAACACTGTAGATTAACTCTGTGTTAACACTGTCGATCTCCATTCTGCATGGTATATGATTATTGTGAAGGTTTTAATAATGTAGGTGTTTGTTTAGGTGTTCATTTGACACTGTAGGTATTTATTTAGCATTGTGTGTTCCACACCTTAGGTGTTCATTCTGCACCAGGGGTTTGTGTCACGCTTTAGGTGTTGGTTTATTTAACAACACGGGTGATCTTTCAGCACCGTAGGTGTTGATTCAACACTGTAACTCAACAGCTGGTGTTCATTCAAGACTGTAGCTATTAGTGTACTTGTTCCTTCAACATTATGTGTTAATTCCACAAAGTAATACAACACAGATTGTAAATTAAATACTATAGGTGTGCATTCAAGACTGTATATGTTAGAGTATTTGCTCAGTGAACATAGTGTTAATTCAACACAATAATTCACTGTGAATTTTTTATTAAACACTGCAGGTGTTGATATTCAACATTGTAATTCAACAGTCTGTGTTAATTCAATACTGCATATATTAGTGAAATTGTTCATTCAACATTGGGTGTTAATTCCACACAGTAATTCAACACTGTAAGTGTTGATTCAACACTGACATTCAACAGTTAGTGTTAATTCAAGACTGTAGAAGGTAGTTTAGTTGTTCATTCAACATTAGCTGTTAATTCTACCTAGTAATTCAATGAGAATTGCTACTGCAACACTAATTCAACACTTTGTGGTAATTCAATACTAAATATATTAGTAGAGTTGTTCATTCAACACTAGGTGTTAATTCCACACAGTAATTCAACACTGTAGGTGTTGAATCAACACTGAAATTGTTGATTCAACGCTGTAATTCAAGACTGTGGTTGTCTAGTTGTTCATTCAAAACAGTGTGCATTCAGTCAACACTGCAGGCGTACATTCAGCACTAAAGTTTTTACATCAACACTTTAAGTATTATTGAAGGTGCTCATGTCGATGTTTGTGAAAGCTTTCAAAACTGTAGTTATTCATTCAAAATTGTGTTAATTCATCACCTTAGTACACAATTACACAAAGTGTTTATGTTAGGCTGCAGGCGTTTTTATTTGTTGATTCCACACAATAATTCAACGTTAATTGTTACTGTAACTCAACAGCTGGTGTTAATTCAAGACTGTATATGATGACTGTAGACTAGTTGTTCCTTTAACATTGAGTGTTTGGTTCACTGTGTGTAGATTTACGTTTAACACTTATTGTTAGATCAACACTACACACTTAAAAAAAATGGTTCTTCAAGGGTTCTTTAGCAAAGGCAATGATTCTATTTAGTGTTCTTTGTGTGGTGAAACAGTTCTTCAGAATGATGGCGAATGTGTTGTATATGGTTCTATACAGGACCTTAATGGTTCAATATAAAGCACCAAAAAGGTTTCTTCTATTATGGTTACAAGCTTGACATTGTAACACTAACACAAGCCTTTATGGTGCTATATATAACCATATACATCAATCTGAAGAACCATTTCACCATGCAAAGAACCATTTCAAAGTAGAACCACTGGCTTTACTACAGAACCCTTGAAGAATCATCTTTGTTGAGTTACAACACTGCTGGTGCTCATTTAGCATGTAATGTGTTAATTGCACATTGGGCATTAATATGACTGATATAATGATGAAACTGAAGGATAATAATAATAATAATAATAATAATAAAGAAAAAACAGATGATTCCAGCTGCCGAGAATCAAGACTGGAGACGCCCCCAAACCAGAGAGAGAGAGAGAGAGAGAGAGACAGAGAGAGAGAGAGAGAGAGAGAGAGAGCAGCTGACTACCTGACAGTGGAGCACGCTGTGTGCGCGCGGCGCGTGTCTATGGTAGCTCCTCCACCGAAAAAGACGAAAATTTAATTTTTGTGTTTTTTTCTTTTTTTCTTTCTTTCTCCGTTTTCCCAGCGCGAGGATACGGAAGGACAATTAAATCTCCTCGAGCCAGCAGCAGACAGCCATGCACCTGAACCGCGACGACGAGGACAGCAAAGGTGAGAGGCTCGCGCTTCTGCTCTCTCTGCTTTCTGGAGGAAATGCCCCCCACTACACCCCCCTCCCCACTTAATTACCCCGCCTAATTGCCCCGGAGTGCAGCAGATACCCTCCAGCTTCATTCTTTTAGCTGAGCCTGACACGCGCGTGCCTTTGGCGTGCAGCGTGCACGCTTAACGTTGATCATCGACTGATTATTCGCTCCTGCTGGACAGCTCACGTGCGTGACAGGCTTCAGTAAAGGAGACATGAACGTCTGAATGTTTGATTGATCTTTTCTTTTTCGAATGCACATAGTCGGACACGCGCGCGCGCTCACACACACACACACACACACACCCTTCGTTGCGAGCCAGAACACTTGTTGTGTTCCGAGGCTCCCTCGCGTGTTTGAAGGGGAAGCTATCGACCACGCACGCACAAGGTCATCACACACACATGCACGCACACGCGCGCGCGCTCTCCTATAACCATGCACACACACACACAGACGCGGTCGTAGCAGTGCGTCTGCGCCTGCGTTTGCTACAAGGTGCATGTGAGAGATGCACGAGCGTGTGAGGGGTGAATGTGGAGGGGAACTGTTTTGCCTGTGCGCGCGCGGGTTGCCCGTCCCCTCAGTGCCCGTCCTGCTGCCAGGCTGTGGATATATGTGCGTGTGTGTGTGTGTGTGTGTGCGCGCGCGTGTGGATGCCTCCTGTTGCGCGCGATGTGTCGGAGTGAAGCTGCAAGTGTTTGGAGCATCAGACGGTGACCAGACACACACACACACACACACACACACACACACACACGCACACACAGAGGGACGGGAGGAGGGGGTAGAAGGGGAAGAGAGAATGAAAGAGCAAGACAGAGAGATGGAAAGAAGGGAGAGCGAGGGGGTGAGAGAGAGAGAGAGATAGAGAGGGAAAGAAGGAGGAAAGAGAGGGAAAGAAGGAAGGGGGGTGAGAAGGTAGAGGGAGAGAGGTGGAGAAGAGGAGAGAGAGATAAGGAAAGAAGAAGAAAGAGAGAGAGAGGGCAAGAGAAGAGAGAAAAAGGGAAGAAAGAATGAGAGAGCGAGACAGAGTGAGAGAGGTGGAAAAAGGGAGAGCAAGGGGGAGAAGTGAGAGAGAGAAGGAGGGGGGGAAGAGAGAGACAGTGAGAGTGGGAAAGAAGGGAGAAGGGGAGGGGGAAAGAGAAAGAGACAGTGAGAGTGGGAAAGAAGAGAAGGAGAGAGGGGGAAGAGAGAGACAATGAGAGTGGGAAAGAAGAGAGAAGGAGAGAGAGGGGGAAGAGAGAGAGACAGTGAGAGTGGGAAAGAAGGGAGAAGGGGAGAGAAGGGGAAGAAAGAGAGACAGTGAGAGTGGGAAAGAAGAGACGAGGGGGAGAGGGAGGAAGAGGAAAGTGGAAAGGAGACTGAGGGAGAGAGGGAATGAGAGAGAAGTAAAGGAGAGAGGGGGAAAAGGAGACAGAGGGAGCTAGAGAGTTAGAGACAGGGGGAGGAGAAAAAGAGAGGTAAAAGAGTGAGAAAGAGAGAAGGAAGGGAAAGAGTGGGGGGGAAAGCAGAAAGAAAGCAAGAGAGAGACGGAAAAAGGAAAGGAAGGAAAGAGACAGAAAGAAAGGAGAGAAACAAAAAGAAGAAATAAAGAGGTAAAGAAGAAAGAGAAAGAAAGAAAGCAGAAAGTGAGAAAGTAGGAAAGGATAGATAGAGAGTGAGGGAAAAGAGAAAGAAAAAGGAGAAAGCAAGAGAGGGAAAGGAGAGAAAGAGGAATGAGAAAACAAGAAAGAAGGTAAGGAAAGAGAGAGAAAGAGAAAGAGAGAGAGAAGGATGGTAGAGGATGAGGGTTCAGTGTCAGTGTGTAGAGGCAGACTGACTGTGTGCTGCTGCTTCTCTGTTACGAAGCCCAGCATTTTGGACGCTGCCGTCTGATTGGCTGATCGGGAGTCTGATGAGTGTGAGGGGTCTGTCTGGGTTTCCTGCGCATGCTGGTGCTACACACACACACACATACACGTACACGTGCTGTGTCCCTTCAGAATTCCCCACACATCTCAAGGTGGAGATCCAGTGTCCCCCTCTTCAACTCCTGCTAAACTCACTGATATGACTCACGGATCTGACAAACTTCACTTTTCCTCCTCAACATCCACTTTCCAGCACACGTCTGACACACCATCCACCAGAGAGGACCCTTCAGAGCCGTCTCAGCCTTTAGAAAAGGCCTTATGATTTCTGTGAAATAAACACATACACGTCCCTAGTTTTTAGTTTGTTTTTATTTAACAGAATAATAATGCATATTGTATTTAAACTCTGTATTATTGTAGTAATACTCTTATTTCATTGTCAACCCTCTGGGGTCCACAAACTCGCCCGCGCGTCAAGGTCGATGTTTCTATATCAGTTTCTGTATCTTTGTGATAGTCCAGTGCAGAAATACAATTCAAACATTTTATTAATCTGTAGAGTCACCCTTTCCATTCCATCTTATCATGAGATTGTAAGTGACTCACATCCGGAGTTATGAGGCTATGAAGAGGGGCTGAGATACATGTCATCTGCCTCTCACTGTGTGGAACTGATGGATTCATACATTTTGTGTGAAACTGACCAATACACATTCAGGAAATCACTAAGGACTGACCCATCACGCCGGAAACCCTTCTTTTGGGGTTTTGGTTAGAAACAACAGGGTTAAATTCTTTAAATGTTCAACAGAAAATTATCCAATCAGGACTGTTCTCTCTGTGGTATGCAGTCTAATAGCACTGCTCTGCTATGAGACGCTATGTGCTGTTACGTCCGGTGTGTGCTGGCCGTAAGGATCTGCATATAGGCCCACACTTCAATTCAAAATTGAATTTTGCGCTAATTTGTAGTGTATAATTAATTTTTCATAGTAGATACTGTAAAAAATAATAGTAGTTACTGAATAATTTGTAGTAGATACTGAATAATTCATATTAGATACTGAATAATTCATAGTTATGGAATAATTCATAGTAGATACTGAATAATTCATATTAGATATCGAAAAAATATGTAGTAAATAATAAATAATTTATAGATATGGAATAATTCATGGTAGATATTGAATAATTCATAGAAGATACTAAATAATTCATGGTAGATACTGAATAATTTATGGTAGATACTGAATAATTCACAGTAAAGGCTGAATAATTCATAGTAGATACTGAATAATTCAGAGTACAATCATCCAAGTCTGAAGTTGAAAGTAAATAGTAAGTGTGCTGTTTAAGAAGTTTCCAGGTTGTAAATGTGTCTCAGTGCACATTTTGTATGTTCTCGCTTTAGTATCCAGATGTTAGCCTGGTGGAGGGTTTGGGAATGAGCTGATGAGTTGAGTCAGCTGTGTTAGAGCAAGAAAAACACTAAAAGGAGATTCCAGGAATAGGACGGGGAAACAGTTAGACGACCGCTCGGGGGGATCCAGTCAACATGACTGTAGACTTCAGGAGCAGAGCTTACCCAGAAGGCATTGCGATCTCAGCTTTCTCTCTCTCCCTCTCGCAGCTTTCTTTTTAGTGAAAAATGGTGTATAAAGCTATTTATAAGTGTGAGTGGGAGCAATAAAATATGTAATGAGAATATAATGTAATTTGCTACATTAAAATAGTTTTGTTTATTCCTTTTATGTACTAAAAACAAAGTCGTAATTCATTTTTACATGACCATTTTCCAAACTCTCTTGATTTCCTGTAATTAAACAGGCTGTTTTTGTCACTGTGCTCTTAAGTAATGTACAGTCATATGAAATGATCAAATTCCATGTTTTGTTGATTTTCTGAGTGTAATTAAGTGAACACATCCTCTACAGAGACACACTTCTGCACATTTTAATGACAGTTACTGTTTATTTGCTGAATTTAACACATTGGGGGAAAAGGTTATGGCACATTTTCTAAAAGCACCATATTTAAGTGTGTTCTCTGTAGAGGATGTGGTCATTTATTTACACCTAGAAAATCAACAGCAACATGCAGCTTGACCAGGTGTACTCAAACCTTTGCACAAGACTGTATGCAAATTGAAACACTCCATATAACTTCAATGTGAGTGGGTGAGGCTAAACTACTGTAAGCTGAATAGTTGGATAGTGGATATATGTATGAATGTGTTGGTTTTCATGACATCACAATAACAATGAAATTATTTTGCAGTGTCATGTTCATATGGACCATATTGGCCAGAATAGGTGTTGGCAACATGCGGCTCTTTTACTGCCCTGTTGTGGCTCCACAGCAGAATTAGATTTGTAGGTAAAAATAAAATAATCCTCCTTTGCAGTAAAATAAAGCTCTGCTGATCGTTCAACACAGTTTTAACAATAAATGATCTTAAATGCTGGAGTTAATGTAGAACTGCTAATTCACCCTTTAACCCTGAAGATCAGCACAGACTGCTGGTCACCATAGCAGTGCAGACAACAATCTCACCTAGCTAGTAGCTAACGAAAAGACAAAGAGAAAGATTTAAGACTTCAATAATTTGGAGATGAATGGACTTAGTTGTGTTTATGATCACTCCAGCTGGTTTCCTGATACGTTTAATCTGCAACGAGAAACTGTCAACCACTAAAAAGTCGTGAAGCTGAAGTTGTTTGCTAGCGTGTCGTTTGAATTTTCCCATTCCACCTTAAATGGTGCAGCAGTTACATTCCTCAGGCACCATTTAAGGTGAAACAGGAAAATGCAAACAAGAAGCTGGTAAATGAGAAGCTAACTTCAGCTTCGTGACTTTTTAGTGTTTGACAGTTTCTTGTTGCACGTTTTGAACGTTGAGAGACATTTTACAAGAAACTGTTCTACTTTTGCGGAAAAGTTTTCTGCCGGAGATGCGAGAAAAGTGGCTATAGCTGAGCTAAATCTTAAAGCAGAACAAAGTAAGTCTGCGTTTTCATTTATATTAAATATGTTTTAGCCTATACTAGTATATTAGCACATCCTGAGACATATTTACAGCCAAGATGGTAAAATGGACATAAAATGTTGT